ATCGGAGCATGCTCGGGCTGGAGGTTATGGTGCTACTGGACACGATGTGTATAGTGCTGGTGACTATACAGGAGATGATTATATCCAGTGGGCCGTAGAACACGCCGGAAATGTCACCAAGAGAGAAAACAAAGCAAAGAAAAGCCGCAAGCCAACGGAAGTCCGGTCGCCGGAATCCATGAACAATGGCGATAGAGTGGCGGGGATAGAGAGTGAGGGGCCGAACAATGTGCTACCCTTGAGTGCCATGTCGAAGTGCGGCACATGAGTAGGAGGACAGCGGAGAAAATAGCCAAGCAGTGAGCAACTCGGCATGGAGCAGGAACTGAGTCCTCGTGGCTTCTTCAACTCCACTGTTCATCCGCCATGCACCATTCCGGCGACCAGATTTCAGGTGGAAAATCAGTGGAAATGGACCAACGACGGGTGGGCAAGGTATTTCTTCCTCTTGGCGGACATGCACACAGCGAAAAATGAAATAAAGCTCCCATGCAATCGGTTGAGAAGCAAAGAGAAGAAGACACGACAATCCAGACCACGTCGAACGGGTGGAAAATCAGTGAACAACGGCGACAGAGTGGCGGGATAAGAGTGAGGGCCGAACATGTGCAGCATGGAGGAAGACAGCGGGAAGAAAAAATAGCCAAGCAGTGAGTCAACTCGGCAGGGAGCAGGAACTGAGTCCTCGTGGCTGTCTTCAACTCGGCACTGTTCATCCGCCATGCACCTCTCCGGCCGACAAGATTTTAGGTGGAAAATTAGAGGAAATGGACCAACGACAGGTGGGCAAGGTAGTTGTTCTCCTTTTGGTGGCATGCACACCTGAAAAGATTCAAAATAAAGCTCCCATGCGATCGGTTGAGGAAGCAAAGGAAGGAAGACAGCCGACAATCCATGAGCACGTCGAATGGGGCGGAAAACCAGTGGAAAAGGACCAACGACAGGTGACCAAGGTAGTAGTTCTCCCCTTGGCGGCATATACACGTGAAAAGAATGAAAACAAAGCTCCCATGCGATCTGGTGAGGAGGAAAAAGAAAGAAGAAAGCCGGTAATCAACTTTGACCACGCTGACCGGGGGGGAAAATCAACGGGAAAGGACCAACGACAGGTGGGCAAGGAAGTCGTCCTCCCTTTGGCGGCATGCACAGGTGAAAAGAATGAAAATAAAGCTCCCATGCGATCAGGTGAGGAAGCAATGGAAGGAAGGCAGCCGGCAATCAACCTGGACCAAGTCGAACTGAGTATGTGCCTTTTTAATACACAGATGAGTGATTTTTCTTCTGGAGCAGGACAAAATAATGATGAGGTGGACACACACCCTTTGGTACAGGGTCGGAGGAAATTGGACAGTGATTTTTTAATGAGACACTCTGTCAACTCTTCATCAGAAGAAACAATGGAAGAGGAGGAGAAAGATGGACTGGCTGTCAATAATTCCATCTCTGCATACTACCCAACCAACAATTACCCATGATTCGAGCTTTGATATGGAACGTTCGTGGAATTGCTGCTTCAGTAATTCAACGAAGACTAAAGAAATTAAAAATGATGCACAAAATTAAGCTGCTGGTTGTGTTGGAACCCATGGTGAATACCGGCAAAATAAATTATATCAAACGGAGATTGGGTTTTGATTTAGCCTTTGCTAATTGTTCTCAAAAAATATGGTTTTTCTGTACTAATGATATTGGCTGTGAAGTGTTGCTGGACCAGGTTCAATGCTTACATGTTAAACTGTCTGTTCCGTGGCTTGCATATTCAGTCTATGCAACACTATAATAAGCAGTGAGGAACGATTGTATGGAGCCACCCCGCATGCAGGATCTATGGAGGACTTGGCTTCCACTCTTCTAGATTGTGGACTAATTGATGCAGGGTTTGAAGGCAGTTCTTATACATGGACCAATAATCGTATGTTTCAAAGACTATACCGTGTGGTATATAACCATGAATGGGCAGACTCATTCTCTTCCACAAGAATTCAACACCTCAACCGGGATGGATCTGATCATTGCCCGCTTCTTATATCATGCTCAAACACTACTCAAAAAGGTCCTGTAACTTTTCATTTTTTACATGCATGGACAAAACACCATAAATTCCTTTCATTTGTAGAACGGAGCTGGAATACCCCTCTCCAGGCATCAGGATTGATGGCTTTTTGGGCTAAACAACAAAGGCTAAAGAGAGATTTAAAGTGGTGGAATAAGCAAGTCTTTGGGGACATTTTTAAAAATCTACGCTTGGCAGAAGCCGAAGCAGAGCAGAGTG